TGCATGACGGCAGCAGCTTGCAGACGCTCAAACGTTTCGAATCGAAAAGATGGCATTCCGTCTCCGGGCGTTGGGAGACATCAGCGGGGTATAGTACAAACTGCGAACATTTCTTTTCCTCGCGTCTACGAAGCAATCTATGCATGTATACTAGTGTTTTGATTCTATCAGGCTGGACTGCCATCGCTCATCTTGCGTCTGATGGGGTTGGAGAGCGCTTCGAGGGTAGGTGCGGGGGTCATGTCCAGCTTTGCGGCAGCCTCACTCTCTGCGACCGTGTCTCTTTCGACCTGCACCCTCTTGAACCACCATCTCTTGCCCATCTTCCATGCCTCTAGACCAATGACGAGCATAATGGTGGCCACAATGACGATGGCCCATTCCCAGCTGAGACCTTGATGAAGGAATATGAGCGTGTTGAGCCCGGGAATGTAGAGGATGGGAAAGATGGTAAAGAATGCAAAAACGACGGAGAAAAAGAGGACCTTGTTGCGCCACGTGTCGTGGAACCACTGCGTCCAGAGAGAGTGGCCCTTGCCCATGCGGAAGAAGGAACGTCTCATCGAGACGACTTCCCAAGCGAGAATGACGGACGCCCAAGTGAGAAAGGCAAACGTCGCTCCACGAGCTCGATAGACGTCCTCGCAGCTCGAGTCGTAAGTGAGCGAACGATTGCACTCGAAGCCGTAGACGGATGTGCCAAAGCCAAAGAAGGATAGCGTGAAGACGGCGAGGCAGAGTGCTGCGATCCAAAAGCCGTAGACGACAGTGTCGATGATGAGTTCGGGATTAAAGAGACCCCATTTGAGATCGTCGGGAGGACGTCTCATGACGTCCGTCTCGGCTTGCTGCAAACCCAGACCCATGGCTGGAAGACCAGAGGTAACGAGGATGATCCAAATAACTTCGATGGGCGACAGCGGAAAGACGGAGAAACCACTGGCATCCTTGAATGCCAAGCCGATGAGAAGCACGCAAGCTTGAGCAATGTTCTGAGCGAGCAGGTGAAGCACGAAGCGCTTAATGTTGTCTGCCATGCGACGTCCTTCTTCGATCGCATTGGGAATGGAGGCAAAGTTGTCGTCCGTGAGCACAATGTCGGATGCATCTTTGGCGACGTCAGATCCTGCTTGGCCCATAGCGATCCCGACATCTGCAATTTTGAGCGAGGGAGAGTCGTTGACTCCGTCACCAGTCATGGCACAGTAGCGTCCTCGTCT